CGCGCCAAATTGCCCCTCGCCTTCCTTGGCCAGCCCTCCCATCATCAGGATACCCCTCCTCTCGACATTCCGCAAGCACAGGGCGGCGCCTACCTGCAGTGCCTGTTCCTTGAGATCGTCGACCTGGCTCGCCCATCCGCCTCTTCTTGTGCCCTGTCCTCCCCGGCAGCTCTTCGTCTTCTCCCGCTCCTCCTGCTCTCGCCTCCTCCCTGCTGTCTTATCTCACCATTGTCCTTGCTTCCACCCAGGTTCGAAGAATGCTCTCGTCCGCTCGCATCTCCGCCATGCGTCTGGCCGGCGCCCGTGGCTTCCACACCTCTGCCGCCCGCTCCGCTGGCTCCATGTTCGTCGTTGTGCGTCTGCTCCTCCCTTCGACTCCTCTGCTCTTGTGGCCCTCGGCTTGGCCGTCTTTTGCCAGCCAGCGCCGCACCCCTCCGCCCCCTCCCTCCCCCCCTCTCTCTGTCCCCCTCTCGTTCCCGCACCCGCTCGATTTAATCGCCCAGCTGACGCGTGTCTCCTCGGCCCCTCCTCCGGCAGCACCGCGACGTGCCCGGCAACCACCAGAACGAGAAGTTCGAGTTCACCCCTGAGAACATGAAGCGCGCCAAGGAGGTCATCACCTGGTACCCGCCCCAGTACAAGAAGGGCGCCGTCATGCCGCTCCTGGACATTGCTCAGCGTCAGGTGCGCACCTCGACAGCCTTGTCCCTTTGCCGCCCCTGCCCCCTCTCACCACATCCTGCACTCCATCACGGCCCCCATCCCTCTGACTCCGGCCTCTTGCTGGTCCCTGCCCCTCCCCCGCCCTTCCCCCCCCCCCCCCCCGACTGATGTCTCATTCTTAGCATGGCGGCTGGCTCCCGATCAACGCCATGAACTACGTGGCCAAGATGCTGGACATGCCCCCGATGCGTGTCTACGAGGTGGCCACCTTCTACTCGATGTACCAGCGCAAGCCGGTCGGCAAGTTCATCCTCGGCGTCTGCACCACCACCCCCTGCATGCTGCGTGGCTCGACTGCCATCATGAACACCATCAAGTCGCACCTGGGCAACATCGCCGTTGGTGAGACCACCCCGGACGGCCTGTTCACCCTGAACGAGCTCGAGTGCCTGGGTGCCTGCGTCAACGCCCCGGTTGTTAAGATCAACGATGATTACTATGTACGTAGCACAGGAGGGAAGGGCGCCGGCCGGCAACATCACTTGTGCCTTTCCGGCTTCCCTTTCTGTTTGGGACTTGGTCTCGCCCATGAATCTCACCCCATGTCCGTCACCTTCCCCCCCGCCCCTGCCCCCCAACCCCAGGAGGACCTCACCACCGGCAACATCCGCGATATCCTCCAGCGGCTCGCCTCCGGGCAGGGTGACACCCTGGTCCCTGGCCCGCAGGGCACCCGCCGCACCTGCGAGCCGGCTGGTGGCCTGACCACCCTGACCGGCCCGCCCCCCGGTCCGGGCTTCCGTGTCCGCGAGGACCTCTAAGCATCACGCGTTGTTCACCCCGCCGCACTCGATATGGGTCCACTCGTCCCCCTGGCCCGCCCCCTCCCATCTATACACAGCACGCCCCCCCCCCCCCCCCCCCCAAGGCCAGGGGTTGGGCCCGCCCTCTCACATTTCCTTTCAGTTACCCCCAAATACACTTGGTTTGCCCTTGTCGAGAGCCCCCTTGCTCCCGTTGGTTGCTGGCCGGACCCATGGACACCCGTGGATAGCTGGCATGGCATGTGGGTGTGCATGGGGCACATGCGTCCTGTGGCAGGCATGGCAGGCTCTCCCGCGGGGAAATGCATCTATTTCTTGGTCAATGGGAGGACGCTGCCGCGTTGCCGCCGGCTATCCGGGCCAGGAGAGACTCAACCTGGCGCTGGAGCTGCAGCGCCTCGGACATCAGCTGCGCGTCGCTCCCCGGAGCTGGGTGACCGTCCGGCGGGGTGGCGGCGGCGGCGGCCACGGCGGCAGCGGCGGCAGCCGTCACACCGGCGAGAGACGCCGCAAGGGATGCTCCCCCGCCGGGGGGCGGCGCCTTGGGATCTGAATGGGAGCGATGGTGTGCCTTGAGCAGCGGGGGCGCTGGACCCGCCGGAGCGACGCTGCCGCGACGCTGGGCAGTGTTCATTCTGTTGATGTCATTTTCCAAAAGGCTCGGGTGGTTGTGTGGCAGACTGGTGGATCGGCGTCCGAGAGACGGCACCGGGGGAGGGCGGCCGTCGATCGGGATCTGGATCGTCCAAAGGAAAGGGAAAAAAGAAAGCCAAGACCGAGGGAGGGGGGACGGGGCGCGTGAGAGGGAGCCAGTCAAACCAAATGCAGAAAGAGGTGTGTGTGTGTGTGGGGGGGGGGGGGGGGGGGTTTCACGCCGGTGGTGTCGATGTACCCGATTGAAAGGCTGGCCTTTTGGGCGGCCATGCCATGGGAGGGGGCCATTGTATGGCGTGTCGGAGGTCGGCCTCCGGCAGAGAGCGAGGTCCGCCGGGGGGACATGGTCGGCCGGGCAAGAGAGAGACTCGGCCGGGAGGAGTGGCGATTATAGAGGCCAGCACGCGAGGGGAGGGCGACTGGACGCAGGGGAGGAGATTGCCCGACCGCCGGCGCTAGCGATGACCGGGACCGAAGAAGCGGGGCCGGTGTATCGAGCGGTGTGAGCGAGGCCTCGCGGACTGTCCAGCATTCCGGGTGGTTAGCGGGCCGAAAGGCCGGTGGCAAGAGGGAAATGACCGGACTTGAATACGCATATAAATGCATATATATATGTATGCATGTGTGGCAGGTGCGAGCTATGGACATGCGCGACGCACGCCGACGTGACGAGAGGGTAAGGATCTCGGGCTGGAAGGACGAGTCCTCCTCAAGGGCGCTTGGCAAGCGTCGAGCGGCGGGGGCACCGCCGGCTGGGAGGGTGGTTTTCCGGCACCGGACGGCCGACATTTCATCGAGGCTGGCTGTCGATGCCCGGGCCACCGATGCGCGCCACGACTGGCGAATGGTGGCCGGGCTGAAGGTCATGGTGGCGCGGCGGTTGCTTTGGGCGGGGGCGGAGGGGTTCGACATGTCCACCTGCCGGCGAGATGCATGCCCCGGCGGGGATGGTGATGTCGTGCCGGGGCCTGCCAGTGAGGGAGAGCCCATGGGCGGCGCGGGGTCCGAAGCGGCCAGAGCGTCGGGCCGCTCGGCCGGCTGGGGCAATTCGGCTCGCGCCTGCTCGGCCATCTGGCGCATGCGCCGGGACACGCGACGCTGAAGGGCACGCGCCGGGTCCCCCTGCGCCTCGAGCAGCTCGGCCAGGGTGATGTCCCGGAAGCGGGCCAGCGCACGGAGCTTCGACTGAAAGGTCAACTCCAAATCACGCTTCAGGTGCTCGGCGCGGCGTTGCATCAGCGACAGCGAGAGGGAGGCTACGGTCGGCACATGTATGTATGTGTGTGTGTGTGTGTGGGGGGGGGGAGAGACGGGCAACTCGAATGTGAGGATCGGTGCACCAATGGCGCAGCGAGCAGAGGATGTCCAGGGTGGCGACGCACTGTCGTGGTCAAATTGGTCCAGAAGGAGCATGAGTCTTGGTGCCTGGTCACCGGGAGGCTGGTCGAATGAGCTGGTGCTCGAGCTGAGCAGGGGAGATTCGATGGGACAGGAGCCGGCTGGGGCGGAGTCCGGCCCCGGCCAGTGCCGCGAGGGAGCGGCATCCTCCCGGTGTTGCTCCGGGAAGCCGAAGTGGCTCATCTTGCGAGGGAGGCGAGGCAGGAAGCAGGACGAGAGGCAGGGGGAGGAGGAAGCGGGGGAGCGGGTTGCAGACTCGCCGTGTGCCGGCGAGCTGTGGGGCGCCCGATCAAGGGAGCGGGTGGTCGAGCGGGCCCGAGCGATGCCAGGCGAGGGGCGGCCTTGGTGAAAGCCCAAAGGGACCTCGGCCGGGCAAGGCGGGGAAGATCTGCGGCAACAATGCCCGGGGGCAGTCCCGGCGGCCCGGCATCCGGGCGATCTAAGAGGCGGGCTTGAAAAAACGATATCCCATTCGTGGGCATCACGCCCAGTCACGCTTGCGGCATGTGAGCAAGCAAGCGATCACGGATCGCCCGTAATAAACCCTAGACATTCTGGAGGCGTGTGCCTGTGCCTTTCTCTGTGGGCTCCGGGGAGGCAACCCCCCCCCCCCCCTCCCCCCCTCTCTCGCTTCCCGGCGTGGAGGCCCCTTTGAAAGCGAGCCACATCCGGCCTACGAGGGTGTGTATGTGTGTGTGTGTGTGTGTCTTTCGAGCTGTATGTGCGGGGCGCCGAGTTTTTTTTCGAGTGATCCGGACACAATGGACAGGGCGCGCGGGCCGGGGGGGGGGCGGCGAGAAGGCGCCCAGGAGATTTGCGGGGCTGCTCTCAGGATGCTATATCAGATTGAGGGAGAACCGGGGAACGAGAGGACAAAGGCGACGACGGCTGATGCCCCCAGGTGCTGGTCTCACTCGGCCTCAAGGCGTTCTGGCGTGCGATCAACCCTACTCCGGCCGATGGTCCGGGTGACCAGGCCCCTCGCCGCGTCGCGCGTTCTCCTTTTTATTCCGCGCCCGCGCGCGCGCGCGCGCGCGCTCTCGCCCCCATCTAGCCGCGGGAGCCGGCGTCTCGGGATGCTCCACGCGCACGCGTATCCGTGGTGCGTCCACGCGCGCCCTGCCCGGGCAGCGGGTCGTGGCTGGCACGGCCTCGGTGCATCGTCTGCCCAGGCTTCCCGGGCCGAGGCACCTTCATGCGCAATGCGCTGCGGGCGGGGATCTTCCCGCCCCCCGCTCGCCCCAGTGTCTGGAGATCCGCCCGTCCCCCCCCCCCCCCCCCAGTCACCTCCTCCTCCTCCTCTCTGCCCTTCCTCCCCTCTGCCGCATCCGTCCTCCCCCGCCCCCGCCCACCCCTCACCGGTATCGAAGTTGATCAATCAATGGTGCCACCCGTCCAATCGGAAGCTGCCTCGTGGGTTCAGCCACATCTTCGTCGTGGTGTCCGCATCGTGCGTATACCCTCTCGCCATCCTTTTCTTTCCGTCCCCCCCCCCCCCCCCCCCCCCCCCCCCTGGTCTCCTGCTCAGTCCCGCTCCGTGGTCGACATTCCCACCAGGGCGTCCCTCGGTCGGGGGGCGTGCCCCCCATGCAACCGGAGCCAGTTTTTCCGGCACCGACATGGTGCCCGGGCTGCAGGCCCACTCAGCCTGCCTCCTTTTTTTTTTTGGTGCTGGTTTCCCCTCCCCACACCGCCCCTTTCCCCTCTCCTCCGATACCATGACCGCCGATCAGCCCGAGGTCGCGGGTGCCACCGCCACCACCGTGTCTTCCGTCGACTCGAAGCTCTCGGAGCTCTCCGTCGAGTCTGCTGACGCCTCCGCCGCCGCTGCCGCCGCGGCCGCCGCTCCCACCACCATCGACATGAACGCGCCCTTCATCAACCCCGACGGCACGCCGATGACCAAGAACCAGATCAAGAATGAGGAGAAGCGCCGTGTACGTGGCCGAGATCCCACATCTCCCGCCGGCTTATCGCTGCCACATGTCCACCTGTAGGCTGACACGCACACGCCCCCCCCCCTCCCCCCCCCCCCCCCCCCCCCCTCGCCTATCCCAGGCCAAGATGGAGAAGTTCCTGGCCAAGCAGGCCAAGCAGTCCGAGAAGGCTGCCGCTGCCAAGGATGCTCCCAAGAAGGCCCCGAAGGTGGTCAAGGCCCCGGTTGAGATCCCGGTCGACAACACCCCGAAGGGCAGCAAGAAGGACACCGCGGCCCAGTTCCCCAGCTCCTACCACCCGACCTACGTCGAGTCGGCCTGGTATTCCTGGTGGCAGGAGAGCGGCTTCTTCAAGCCCGAGTACTCGCATCCCAACCTGGACGCCGCGCCGGAGGACACCTTCACCATTGTCATTCCCCCGCCCAATGTCACCGGGTCCCTGCATCTTGGCCATGCCCTGACCAATGCCGTGGAGGACTCCCTGGTCCGCTGGAACCGCATGAACGGCAAGATGACCCTCTGGCTGCCGGGTACCGATCATGCTGGCATTGCCACGCAGTCGGCCGTCGAGCGCCAGCTCTACCGCGAGACCGGCCAGACTCGCCACGATCTGGGTCGCGAGAAGTTCATCGAGAAGATCTGGGCCTGGAAGGACCGCTTTGGCAACCGGATTTGCGATCAGATCAGCCGCCTTGGCTGCTCGGTTGATTGGAGCCGCCACCGCTTCACCATGGACCCGTCCATGTCCGAGGCTGTCACCGAGGCCTTTGTCCGGCTCTTTGAGAAGGGCTACATTTACCGGACCACGCGTCTGGTCAACTGGTGCCCGCATCTGCGCACCGCCCTGTCCAACCTGGAGGTGGACCACATGGAGCTGACCGAGCCGACCATGCTCAAGGTCCCCGGCCATGGGGAGGACAAGCGCTATGAGTTCGGTGTGCTCATCAAGTTCGCCTACAAGCTGGCCGATGAGGCCGGGCAGCCCACCGACGAGGAGATCGTCGTGGCCACCACCCGTATTGAGACCATGCTCGGTGACACTGGCATCATTGTCAACCCGGCGGATCCCCGGTATGAGGGTCTGGTTGGCCGGTCGGCGGTGCACCCCTTCCTCGGGCATCTGATCCCCATCCGTGCCGACGAGTCGGTGGACATCGAGTTCGGCACGGGTGCCGTGAAGATCACCCCGGCGCACGACCCGAATGACTATGAGATGCACAAGAAGCATGGCTTCGAGCTGGTGACCATCTTCTCGGATGATGGCCGCATCAATGCCCGCGGTGGCCAGTTCGAGGGCCTGATGCGCTTCGACGCGCGCGAGGCTGTCATCGCCGCCCTCAAGGAGAAGGGCCTCTACCGCGAGACCGTCAGCAACCCCATGAGCATCCCGATTTGCTCGCGCTCGGGCGATGTCATCGAGCCGATGCCCAAGCCCCAGTGGTATGTGAAGACCGACGAGTTCTCGGCCCAGGCCGCTGATGCTGTGCGCAGTGGCAAGATCCAGATCCTGCCGGAGGGTGTCTTCGACCGGACTTGGTTCCACTGGATGGAGTCCCCCCAGGACTGGTGCATTTCGCGTCAGCTCTGGTGGGGCCACCAGATCCCGGTGTACCGTGTGACCTTCGTGTGCGAGGCCCTGGAGGCGTCCGTACGTGCCGCCACCAAGGAAGATGGCTTGCAATCGCCCCGCCCCCTTTCCTGCCTGTTCATTTGCCATCTTCCCCCCTCCACTTGGCCATCTTCCTTTCCCCTTCCCTCTCCCTTCTAACGGGTGTCTGCTTGGGCGGGCCGGCGGGGACCATCTCCCCGCGCGCGCTGTGCTCCTCCTTCCACTCCGCCTCCTTCCTCGGGGACATGGTCATGCCCCGCCAGCTTCCACTCCGCCTCCTTCCTCGGGGACATGGTCATGCCCCGCCAGACGCCCGATGATGATGCCCGGTGGATTGCTGCCCGTTCGGCCGACGAGGCTCTGGACCAGGCCGCCAAGAACTTTGGCGTTGCTCGGGATCAGATCACCGTCGAGCAGGACTCCGACGTGCTGGACACCTGGTTCTCCTCGGGCCTGTTCCCCTTCGCCACCATGGGCTGGCCCAACGCCGAGTCTCCGGATCTCAAGGCCTTCTTCCCGAACTCCATCCTGGAGACCGGCCATGATATCATCTTCTTCTGGGTGGCGCGCATGGTCATGATGAGTCTCGCCCTGACCGGGGAGGTCCCCTTCAGCAAGGTCTTCCTGCATGCCATGGTGCGTGATGCCCATGGCCGCAAGATGTCCAAGTCCCTGGGCAATGTCATCGACCCGATCCACATGATCGAGGGTGTTAGCCTGCAGCAGCTGCATGACGCCCTGGATGCCGATACCAACCTGCCGGCCTCCGAGCGCCAGGTGGCCAAGCAGGGCCAGCGCAAGGACTTCCCGAAGGGCATCGGCGAGTGCGGCACCGACGCGCTGCGCTTTGCCCTGTGTGCGTACACCCTGCAGCCGCGCGAGATCGGAAGAGCGTCGTTGTTAGCCTGCAGCAGCTGCATGACGCCCTGGATGCCGATACCAACCTGCCGGCCTCCGAGCGCCAGGTGGCCAAGCAGGGCCAGCGCAAGGACTTCCCGAAGGGCATCGGCGAGTGCGGCACCGACGCGCTGCGCTTTGCCCTGTGTGCGTACACCCTGCAGCCGCGCGACATCAACCTGGATGTCAAGCGCGTCGAGGCGTACCGGAACTTCTGCAACAAGATCTGGAATGGCTTCCGTTTTGCCATGGACAAGTTCGATGCCTCTTTCCAGCCTTCGGACGCCATCCCCCGTCTGGAGACCCTGCCCTCGCTGGCGGACCGGTGGATCATCGCTCGGCTGAATGCCTGCATCCAGGCCTGCAATGAGGGGCTTGAGCAGTTCAACTTCGCCGACCCGACCCAGGCCCTGTATGCCTTCTTCATGAATGAGTTCTGCGATGTCTACCTCGAGTGGACCAAGCCGGTGTTCCTGTCCGGCTCGGATGCTGCCAAGGCCGATGCCCGTCAGGTTCTCTACAATTGCCTGGATGTCTACCTGCGTCTGATGCATCCCTTCATGCCGTACATCACGGAGGAGCTGTACCAGCGCCTGCCCCGGCGCGCTGTCCATGCGGCCATCCCGTCGATCATGGTGTCCCCGTACCCGAAGGTGTCGGCCGCCGAGCAGGAGGCCGAGGCCGAGGCCTCCGCCACTGCCACCTCCCAGTTCGACCTGATTCTGGAGCTGGCGCGTGTCATTCGCCAGGCCACTGCCGAGCATGCGGAGAAGCCCCGTCGTCCGGACTGTGCGTTTTTTTTTGTGTCTTTGCTCTTCTTTCCCTTTCTCTCCCATTGCTTTCCTCCTTGCTCCTTGCTGTTTGGTCCTTGCCCCTTGCCCCTTGTCATGCTGGGTGGCTGTTGTGTGCCTCTCCCGTTCCCTCCGCCCGACCGCCCTCCTGTTGTCCCCCCCCCCTCCCCTCCCCCGTCACCTCCTCGCCTGTGTGCCCTCACGCTGACCCGTCCTCCGCCCTGCCTCCGTGCAATCCCACTCCGCTCCTTTCCCCCGTGATACAGGCTTCGTTGCCACCTCCGCCGAGCATGCGGACCTCTTCCGGCCAGAGACCGAGAGCATTCTGAGCATCGCGCGCGCGGCCTCGCTGTCGCTCGTGGATGATGCCCAGGCTGATGCCCTGGCCGCTGAGGGCCTGGTCTTCCATGATCTGACCATGAAGGAGGCTGTCGTGGCTCGTGTGGCCATCCGTCCGGTGGTGGTGACCGCCTAAAGGACCGAGCAGCCCCGTATGCGCACCGGCCCTCCGCCTCTCTTCTTGTGCCCCCCCCCCGCGCGCCCTTGCCGGATCTACTCCTCGCCCCTTCTGGCACACCGAAGGCCGGTTTACTCTCCCGATCTACAGCCGGCTTTTTTGGGGGGCGACCATTCTTCCAAGATGTGAGGATCATACGCCCGTGCTGCTGGGCGCGAGGCGGGCAGCCGGAGCATCAGCCTGCCAAATGTCAGGATGGTCTCGTTCGGCGGGTCTCAGCCTGTGGCGGTGCGGAGCGTGTGCTCTCCCGTCCTCCATTTTCTCATCCCCAAATGCATGTGCGCCTGCGGGGAGGGTGTCGGCCCCGGCCTCCCCCTCCCCCATATGTCCCACTATACACTCCTGTGCCTCCCGTTTTACGTTGCGTAAGTTGGGGACAGTGGAAATATATGTACCACGTTTGTCCATGCGGTTCATTTGAGCTCCTCCCCATTTCACTCTGCCCGACCCCTGGCCCGCGGGTTGTGGTGGTATTTTCCATCCTGAAGCGTGTATTGAAAAGTGTGACATTGCCAATGTTAGCCAAAGGGGGCGAGGCCTGGGTCCAGGCATTGAGAGGCTCCCTCCCCCCCTGAGGGACGGCTCACTGGCCGGCATTCGCACGAGAGATGTGCCGATCCAGGGCGTCGCAAATGGTCGCATGGCCCTGTTCGGTGAAGTGTAGCATGTCAGTGTAGAGGGTGTCACGAGTCAGGCGATCGATGCCGGCCTGGCGGAAGGGGCCTGCCGTCTCATTCGCGACCGCAGTCGGGGGCGCCGTGAGGAATGGGTCCCAGAGGGGGACAATTTCGACTGGGGCCGTTTGTGGCGATGTGGGCCGGGCAAGCATGTGGCGGAGAATCGCGTTGGTCTGGGCCGCGCGTTGGCGCGCCGCATTGTCCGTCTCGCCGCGAGGCGGGATGCCACACACCAAAACCCGGATGTGGTGGTGCGGCGTGCCGGCAGGCCCCGATGAGACGCTGGCCTCCGGATCGGGGCAGAGGAAGCCGAGTGCCTGGACTAGAACTCGGCCCAGCTCGAGGGCGGCTTCGTGAATCCCGCGAGCCACCTCATCCGGCCTGTGGAAGGCATTGTTGGTGCCGACAATCAGTATGCCAGTCAGGTTGAGTGGACAGGCCTGTCCTGACGTGGGGGACACTATCGGAGCAGCAGGTCATCAGTGGCTGGCCTCGGTGGTGGTACTTTTGTCTGCAGGTGATCGGGGGGGGGGGTCTTGCTCCCCCCCCCCCCCCCCCCCCCTCCTGATTCTTTGGCCGTCCCAGTTACTGGCCATCATCATTTTCCGGCCATTCTGTCCTGGCCACCTCTCGCGATTTCCCCCGCCGCGTTTGTTGTCGCCCGCTTCCCTTGCACGATTAGCCACCCGCACCCACCCCGGGCTCGGCCCCCCCCCCCCCCCCCCCCTGCCCGCAACCTGCAACCCGGGGGAGTTCAGTTCTTAATGTGACCAAGCAGCATCCATGCCCCAATGGAAGAAGCACGCACCGCCCGATGTGGCAAGGGATGGTCTCGAATCAGCTGGACCAAGGATGCGTGCCCGGGCGGCAGTCAGGCGCAGGGCATTCTTGATCCCAGCCAGACGCAGGAGGAGGTGCTGTGTTTGGTCCCCACCGAGGCCGAATTCGAGCACCAGCGGCGGGAGACCGGCCGGGGACAGCGGCGGGGCAGACCAAGTCCCGGCGCAGCGACGAGCCCAGGCTTCACTGCGGCCAAGCTGCTGGGCGATGCTGTCGCCGGCCAGGAGGATGACCGGCCGGAGCCGGGCCGGCGAGGGGGACGCCGCGCGCAAAAGTTGCCGGTGCCCATGCAGCCGATCCAGGCAGGCGGTCAACACGCCGGAGGCCAAGTTGAACCAGCGGCCATCCCCCTGGAGATCGGTCGGCGGAGTGGGAATGTGTGCCGGGGTCCAAGGGCCGGCGGGGTAGAGATGCAGGCCGCCAGGCGGGGGCTCCGCCAGGACTGGCTCGGCGGATGTGGCCCCGATGGCGGAGGCGCTGCCGCCGGCGGCCGGGAGCCAGTGAGCCCAGAGGGGCACGGCGGTTGGGAGCCTCTCCACCGCGGTCAGCTCATCGAGCAGGCCCAGTTGCGGGCTCTGCTTGGCGGTTTGGAAGTAATCCATGCGCGCGGGGGCACCAGAGCCCAGGGGCTTCGGCGGGGGCAGGAGGGTGGCCACCTGGCGGAGAACCAGCCCGGCGGAGGTGCCATGGTCCGGAAGACGATCGACTGCCAGGCCGGGACAGGGGTGTTGCGGGTCGAAGCGGCCATGCGTCGCTGCCTCGCAGGAGAGGAGGTACGCCCGAGGGCCGACATGCAAAAGGATATGAACCTAGGGCGGGGAGGGAGACAGGTCAGCGTGGCGCCCGGGGTGCGGTCGAGCAGGAGAGGGGAACGGGACAGGGGGCTTGGGGGGCAAGTTTCGGGGCGGGCGGCAGAGAGAGGTGCAAGACGAACCGCGGCGGGCGGGCCGGCCCCCTCAGGGGCCTTGGTGATCACGGAAAAGGAACACATGCCGGCATTGTAGAAGGGCACCCACTGGAGAGGAGAGTCCGTGCGATCGGCTGCCGTGAGGGGATCTGAGGGCAGGAGGAGAATGGTGCCCGGGGCCGGGACGCCGATCGGGGCGGTGGTCATGGCGGCAAGGTGCGCGCCAGGGGCAATAGGCAGGAGGCGAGGGGGGTGGGGGGTGGGAGGGGGGGGGGGAAGGGATAGGCGATGGGAAAAGCCCGGGGGAGGGGATGGTCGCGGGGAGGCGGCGCCTCAGATCTCACAGTCCACCATGCTCCCGCTTGGGCCACTGCCTCTGCGGGGGGAGGGGTGGGAAGTGAAGATGTCACCCCCCAACACAGGGGACATGGGTGGGGGGGGGGGGGGGGCCGGGCGGGAGGCCGGCCGGCCGAGATCGCACACCACACCTGCGCCGGGTCTCCCGGGGGGCGCCGGGGGAACGGACCCGGGCGGGGGCGGCAGTCGGCTCGGTCTGCCTCGCCCCCGGGCACGGGCGCGTCTGTTGGGAGATGGGTCCATGGTCAGGTGCCAATGTACCTTGGGAGAGCAGGCCCCTGCCAGCTAGGACGTCGCGCGCCCTTGTCTCTCCCGCTGTCTCTCTCTCGTCGGCCGCGGTGAGGAGGGCTCCCACGTCTAGGGCGGGGGAGGGGGGGGGGGGGCGCGGAGGTTGGGCATATGTGCGGGCCGGGGCCGGGCTACCGGCGTCGGCGTCGACAGGCGGCCCAAGGGCCACTGGTCCTGGCGGGGGGCGGGGAAAAATGCGTTCTGGCCATTTGTGGCCCACGCCCCCCGGAGGCGCGGGGGCGGCGGGCTTGGCTGGGGCCGGGCGATATATCGGCCAGGCATTAGGTCCAGGGGTCTTGAGGTCGTTGTCGGACGGAGGGGTGGGGCGTCTTCGGACGCGGGCCAGGATGTTCGTCCCGCCAATGCCCTCCCCCCCGCCCCCGCCCCCGGCCCCGCCCCCGCCCGCGCCCCCCCGTGGCCCGCGCCCCCCTCAAGCGGCGCCGTCAGCCTGCGGGCTGTTGCTTGTGCGGCGCGCAGCAGAAAAGGAGCAAAAAAAAAAACGGGCCGCCCCGGCCCGGGGCCGGAGGGAGAGCAGGGGCCTCCCTCCCGGCGTGCTGGCACACCAACGCGGTGTGAAACGCGCGTGTGTGTGTGTGTGTGTGTGTGTGCCATGCTCTTTGGCGTCCAGTTAAAATGGGCCCCAATGAATGCCAACGCTCTTGGCATTCGACCATGGGCACGCCGTGGGCCAGTGGCGGCCGCCCGCCTGTTCGTTTGCGTGTGTGTGTGTGTGTGTGTGTGTGTGTGTGCCGGCTATTCCCCGGCGACGAGGCATGCTGGCGGGGCCGGGGGCAGGGGGAGGGGGGACTGGACGGCAAGCGGGCGGCTTAGCCGGATAACTCGCCCCTGTGGGGGCCCTCCGGCTGGGGGGGGGGGGGGGCAAGGGAGCAAGTTGCTCGGCGTGACGCATGCCACCTCCCGCTCCCACCAGCCAGGTGTGACGCGCCCAGCTCACGCTCGGGACCGGGGGGAGCGGGGCCCAATCCGGCCGAGCCAGGTCCGGCCAGGTCAACAAGGCCCTGGGACGGGGCGCGGGCTTCCGGGAAATGGGCCGCCCGGCGAGGGCTGGCCCTCTGGAGGCGTGGTGGCCGAGGGGAGCCTGGCGAGTGTCGGCCATTCGCCAGGCGCCTGTGGGGATCCGAAGTGACCTGTGAGAAGCTGTCCCGTCCGGTCCCGCTGCCTGGCGCTCGGTCCGGACCCCGGCGGCGGCCGGCGGTTCACGCCGGCCCCTCAGTCTCGGGACAGGGCGAAGGCGAAGGCGAAGGCGAAGGCGGGGGGGGGGGGTCCCCACGCTTGTTGCCTCATTCCGGCCCTCCGTCCCCTTGCGCCAGCCGGGCGGGGCGTCTAGCCTGATATGTGTCCCGGCCCGGCGAGGCCTACCTGGCTGCCGTTGCAAGGGACACGCCATCGAGCCGGAAAGGGCGCGCCGGCGCTGGCCGAGCGCGATATCTGGCCGAATGGTCTGGCCCACGGGCGTACGGGGGGGAGGGGGGGGGGGGGGGGGGGGGCGGGGGAACCCCATTTGCTTCCAGGTGTGCGGCTTCCGCCCCTCAGCCGGCGGGGGTGGGGGGCGACCCGGGAGTGCTCCGGGCGCGGGCAAAAGGGCTCCAGTCGCGGGGCGGGGGCCGCTTCACCCCCGGCCCCCCCCCCATGAAAAAGACGAGCTGGAAAATAGGATGACACGTCCTTCGTCCGGGGCCGGGAGGGGCTCTGACTGCTGGTGGGCGCCCCGAGGTGGCTCGGCAGCAAAATGGCCTCTCCTCGCGGGCCCTTCAAAACGCTCGCCAAATACGGAGACCTGTTGTGGGAGGACGGTTCCCCCCCCCCCCCGTCCCTGCCCTCCCTCCACCCCGTCTCGCTCCTGGCGGATGGCCAAGTTGCTTCCCACTCGGACCATTCTGGATTGCGTCGGCCTCAGCGCTCTAGGGAGGGGGGCGGAGGGGGGCGGAGGGGGGCGGAGGGGGGCGGAGGGAGGGGGGGGGGGCGATGCGGCGCGTCACCGGCGACAGGCCCAGCCGCCCTCTCGCAGTGGCCCCGCCGACCTGTGCTTCGCCACCCCCCATTTTCGGCGTGAGAGGCGGATCAACGCCAGTCTGGCCGGCATGCTTTTTCCCCAAGCTCCTCCGGGGCACATGGTCGCGGGTGCGCGCGCACCCGCGAAGTCCATCCCTTCCGGCCGGGGTGCTTGTGTACATGCGGAGGCCCCCCCCATCGTGCGGGGTCCGCCTCCCCCGGGGATGGTCCGGGCTTTGGCGCTTGAGCTCGGCGGAGGGCGGGGCCGGGGGGGCGGCGGGGAGGGCGGGCTGGAGCACTACCCCGCTGTCATCCGTCCGGGAACTGGAGGAATGCCGGTTGACCGACAAATGGAGCGCCCCGGGGCATAGGCGCACACGCGCGCTCATTGGCCCAGGCATCCGCAGGCAGCTCTTTCGCTCTGTCTTTTGGGCTGCTCAAAAGCAGCAAGGGGCGTTCATGTCAGAGGCGCCCCCTGCTGGGGAGAGCGGCTCCCAGCGGGCAAGAAAGCCGGACAGACAAAGAGAGAGCGGGAGGGAGTGAGAGCTGGGGAGGCGCACGGAGGGCGCGCTAGAGGGGCAGCCCCCGACAGGGGGGCCGATTTCTGCCTCGCTCCTCCCCGCTCTGTCTGGGCCTCCCTCTTTCCGGACATCAGCCCTGTCCGCCCTGTGTTCTCTCTCTCTCTCCCCCTGCCGATGGGCCATGCCGGCTTCAGGGGGGGGGGGCGGGGGCGCCCCGCTCTTTGGGTTTCCTAACCATGGCCAGTATCTCGATGGGGAGTGCGGGGCTCTGGGGGAATATATTGTGCGACTAAGGAAGCGCACCCTGTTTAATCCCCCGGGCCGACGCTGCGCCTAGCCTGGCCTGGCCCCCCCTCTCGCCCCCCTCTCCCAGGTTGGAGCGGTCGGCGCACAGGGGCCCCTGGGTGTGCTGGGTCGCATCCGGAGGAGCGGTCCCGCCTGCGCGCAGGGGCGACAGACACACGCACACACACACACACACACACGCACACACATGCACATACACTCATACAGGCAGACGGACTGACAAAATACATACGCGCGGGGTGTGCCCACAACGGCGGGGGAACGGGCGGGGGCCAACAGCGCCTCCTCCGTGCGAATGACCGCCCTATCGCGCGATGCCACACCCGGTTATTTGTAGGAAGTCATTCGGGCGCGCGCCCTTCTCGCCCGGAAGTGTTTGTTTATCGCCCCCCTGCCCCACCCCACCCCACCCCCCCCCCCCAGCCCCTCGCTGCCCGGACTTCTCTACGAGCGGGACACCCCTGGGCCTGCGCGCCCCCCGGCCCCCAGCCCCGGCCCTCGCAAGTTGCCGGTGTTCCCTTCACACGCCTGGGCCCTTGCGCGGAGGAGTCCAGCCTCGGTCGCCTGTAAAATGGGCCCCCAGCGCCCCGCGAGTGGCCGTGTTCCTGGCGCCTGCGTGTGGACATGTTGCACAGACACACACACACACACACACACACGAAGGCGTGTGTATACCCGCGCGCGGCTCTCGTGTCGGCGAGACCGTTCACAGGTGTCACCTTGGCCTCGCGGCGGCATCACGAGGCTTGGTGCCTTAGTGAACGCCCGCCCCGCCCCGCACGCCCTCGGCCGGCCGGCCGGCCGGCGGGACGCGGGGACGGGGGGACTGGCCTGCCTCCAGTCCGTCTCCCGCCCGCCCGCCCGCCCGCCCTGGGAGGGTGTCACCCGTCCACTCTCAGCCCCCGGCTCGGTCCAAGCCCAGCTCGCCCTCTGGGGCCTGTGCCCGAGGCCCGCCATAGCCGCCTGTGTCCCCCGACCCCCCCTCTGCCCAGGCGACCTCGCATCGCTCTTTAACCAACC